GAGTATCATCGTCTTAAGTCTTATCATCCAAGAAGGACTTATAGAGAACAAGAAACTAGATTACCACATATATGCTTTATCAAATATTGGAAAACTTCACCTCATCTTGGTTATACTTGCAATGATTGCAATGAAATCAGAAAAATCATTGCTTTTGAAAATAATATAGAAGATCGATTCCAAAACTGATTACACAATTTGATCAAATATAACTGCCATTGGTGTAAAAACAGATTATATTTAAATTATAATAACTATGAGTTATGCACAGATCATCAAGAAAAAGTCATCATCAATTTGAATGAAGAAGATGAAGATTTTATCAATAATAATGATATTTGGAAATATATGAATGTCTACCCAAAACAAGCAGAAGATACTCAAAGTAATGATGAATCAATCATCACCATTACTATGGCTGAATTAGAAGAAGAAAGAAGAAGAATTCAGTCAAAAAGAATGATGAATTCAGGCCAGAAAACTGTAATCCCGACCTGCCGATTGCCTTCAGAATCACGTCAAGATGAAAATTTTAAAAATTCGAGAATAAGTAAGATAAAAATAAGAAAAATCAGGAATACGAATACTGATGATGACATAGTTGATATTATGTGATCAGAAATATCAGAGGATCTGAAAGAAACCTCCAGAAATTCTGAAATAAAGGAAGAAAAATGGACGCTCCCTCACGAGAAGTACATCATTTATCCACTTCCAAGTAGAACGAAAAATGATGGTACCAGCCGATGGCAATCACCAGCCAGAAACCATTGAGACCAGAAAAACTGACTACAAAATGAACAGATTAATAAATTTAACATAAAAAGAAAGACAAATAAAAATACAAATGAATGGAATAGCTTATCTAACTCTGATAACGGCAACCATTAGAAAACTGAAGAAGACAATGAATGGAATACTGGTTGTATCCCATGGATGATAACAACAGATGACAGCAATAGCAACAGTAACAACAATGAAACATGAACACTCTACAAAAAGCAACATGAACAAACGGTTAGTACTATAAAATCGTCATTCGACACCTCTCCTCCAGATAATGAAAATTGGACATGAATACATATCCATTTATCATCACTGACTACCATTATCACTGTTTCACCCCAAAGAAAAACAAATATCTGAAATAGTGAAAAACTAAAAAAGAAAACAGAAATAAAAATGGGAAACTCACCTAATACACTCAAAGAATGGAGTACACACCTCATTGAATACTGGAAAATTCTAATATTACACAAAAACACACGTGTCCTCATTAAACTAAGGATGCTTGCCTAAATTCTTTCAGAAAAATATCGTCATAATTTTGACGGGTTATACACTAATTATTAATTAGAATTTTGACATAATTTCGGTTACGACGGGTTTCAAAATTCATCAGAATTTTGACGGGTTATTTACTAATAGTTTATTATAATTTCGACAGAATTTAGACAGTCACTAAGAGATTTCGGCAAGCAACCTTACATTAAACCAAACAAAATCGTGAAAAACAACAAAAATAACAGTTTCCCTGTGGATTTTAGTACTAAAACAACAGTCCCTATAAAAAACACAAATAAAAATAATAATAACACAAGTACACAACCTACCAGTATTCTGATTTTTAGTTTTCAGCATTCTGAAAACAAGAAAAATATCCTCAACAATACTCCAATTAATAATTCAATTAATATTGTCACACTATCACACAATAAATTATATTCGCACACAAAAATCTATGACCAATCAAATTTGTGGATCATGAGTGACATCACACAAACAGTTGAATTACATACTACAACCTGGAAATTAGGCATGTTTATTAGATCAAATTATGGATCTAAAAACTCAATGAATCCAAATAGATTTAGTCTCCCTTTAAAATACACTGACCCCAATTTATTATATATCTTTTATTAATTAATTTAGTTAATATAAAATCTTTAAAAATTTTCTTATAAATAATCCCTTCGCTTCTAAAAAAAAGAGAAAATAGTAATAATAACATTAATAACAAAAATAATATTTCTTTTACATACACATAATACAATTTCTACTACACAAATTTATCAAAATGACCTTTATATTCCTTCACATATTTCTTCTCAAATTATTCTATTAACTCAAATATTACATCATCAAATGAAGATATCTAATATTGAAGAACAATTAATTATCAATCCAAATGGATATCAGTTTGTATTATCCAATACCAACACAATTGATATTTAAATACCAGATGTACAACCTCTTGTTGTACAAGGATCATTAATCAAATTAACTGAGTTAGAAAAGAAAATTACTAAAGGAATATTACAAGCAGCCATAAATGGAGAAGTAAAAACCAGACCACCAGTATATTCATCAGCTAAATATTCATTATTATTATATAACGATATGTTGGATATGCAATTATATTCATCTACCATCATATTCTATGAAATGGGTCAAATCATTCATGATCTCACCTTTGGAATGAACTGTGTAAGAACAAGTGGAAAAGTCAAAAAGTTGATTAAGAAGATAAATCCACACAATATTCAATTCAAAGTCATGGCCACACTAAGAATCTATCAATATTTTTCAGAATATCCTGAAATTTTAGAATATAGTAGATTGGATAATTACTTTACTCCATTAGTAATTGGTAAATTAAGTTATAAAAACAATGACAATTTAGCTAGTAGAATTCAAGAACTTTTGAGTTTCACCGCTCAAAAATTTTAATTATATTATATTATATTATTTTATTTTATTTATTTAATTCTTAATTTTACGGAGTAAAATTCTTAATTCTGGGAGTTCTGTTATAATATGACTTTACATATCATAATTTTTATTAATTATTTTATTCTATCATCTTATTGATTATATTTATCACATGATTTATCTTCTATTTTTTTAATTTTATTGGTTTATTATTTTTAAAAACATTAAGTTTCACATTTTAATTATTTAATACTTATATCAATACTTTAATATAATATATTCCAAATACCAGAATTAATACTTAGTTTAATACTCGTATTAATATCCTTTTAATGTAGCACATTTTAATTACCTGTTCTTATTTGATTTTGATACTTGGATTAATACTTAATACTGAGATTA